TACAGAGGATTTCTCAAACTTAAAAATCCATTCCCCAAGGGCAAACTTACCAGAGCATGAAGTGCTCTTGTCAGTGGAACAAAACTCTGCACAGCTCTCCACCGCGGAGCCAGCAGAGCCATCTGCGGGCTGAGGGTTGCCTGGGACTGGAGTTCCTTTGTTTGATTTCTAAGACAAAAGAACCTGGAGCATCAGCCTGAATTGCAGGCTACCATGAGTATTCCAGAATTCCTGACTCTTCCAGTGATCTCTGTGTTACACATCTGCCCCAACAGTAAGCAGACAGATATCACAGAAGTCCTTTGTTCCATGTCTGATTCAACTGTATAAAGGACCCAGAAGTTATATAGCAGAGGGGTTGAAAACTCCAAATTGAAGGTTTCGTTTCTTTGAGCTACACATTTAATCTAGAAATCATTTTTAAAGACTCTTTAAAGATAAATGTTCTTTCCTAAGTGGTCACATCACTATGGATTTTATGGAAAGACATTCCAAAGTTGACAAGTATCTTCTAAGAGTCACTCACTCAGTCGTGTCCAACTCTTTGCGACCCCATGGACTATAGCCCACCAGGCTCCTCTGTCCATGGAATTCTCCAGACAGAGAATACTGGAGTGGGTAGCCATTCCCTTCTCCAGGGGATAAAACAGAATAACATTGAATTTATATTGTCCCTCAGCAGCATTCTAAGTAGGTTGTGGCCTTCTTACTGTACAGCAAGATTTGGGTGGCAAAGGATTCAAGTCGGCAAAGAGCTGATACCTACCTTCCCAACAAGATGTTTGCATTACACCAAGTTAATCTCCTCCACAATCCCTTAAACACTCTCCACTTGAACTACCACAGGTCTTTCATGGTTTTCATTCTCCCCAAACAATCACTACAACTTATATTGTCCTCCTCTCTCTTTTGGACCTATCCACACGGCCTCCGTGTCTTTGAGGGTTCGGCTCAAGTCCTATCTCCTCCAGGAAGCCTCTTCCAACCTCTCCAGTCACAGTGTACTCTGTCCACTGATGATCTGCTATCTATTTGACACTTCATCATCCACCACTTTGTAGTGTCCATTGGCAGTTTAATCTCCAGCTCTTACCTCTCTCCCATGCTCTAAATGCATCCTGCCAACCTGCTAGAAATCTTCAGAATGATAACCTGCTGGCGCCTCCACTCAACATGTCCAAAACAACTCATCATCTTCCAGTACCAATCAGCCCCAACACACACACACACAACCTCCTATCTTCTCTATTAAGGGAGTTCAGCATGTACCAAACATTTTCTATGTCTAAAGCACTACATTAGGCACTATGGACACAGAAAGATATACAAAGATGAATAATTTCTGCTTGACCTCCTTGTCAGGATGAACTGGGTACCTCTCTTCTGCGCACCATTCTCCAGACTACCTTGTATTTAGAATTTATCATTCGATATGCTAATAAGACCATCTCCTCACAAGACAATGAACACCACGAGGGCAAGAGGTATGCCTGAGGTTTCTGTGCCTCACTGGTGCCCTCATCACAGAACTGATACCCTACTCCTGGCAAATAAACCTTTGCTGCCCAGCTAGGTGGATGACACTGCATGCCCTTAAGGAGCTCACCATCAACCTGGACCCCTAGACTTGGCATTATGTTCACCTCTTCCATTTCCTCTTAGCTAATCATCAGCAAGTTTTCTTGATTCTGTTTTCACAGTATCTACTGTATCCATCCACTTTCTCCTCTTCTCCACGGTCATCAAAGTTGATTGCTGGGACCTCAGCAGTAGTCTTTACTGCTTTCCCCACATCCTCCTTGATTATCCCCACCACTTCCTTGCCATCCAGCCCCAACATCACCACTAGAAAGATTTCTCTAAACCACATGCAATCCCCGGCTTGCAGCTTGTCATTGACAGCCTTCTTAAAGTAGCTCCAGTCACACCCCTTCTCTTCACTCACCTGACCCTCAACCCAAATCCTCCTACCACTCACTCCATGCTTCCCTACTTTCCAGCTTTAACTTAGTAACTGCTTCTATCCTCTGCCCATCAGAAGCCTCTTTTCATCTTTCAAGACCCAAGTCAAGTACTTCCTTCCTCTTAGGTTACTGTTAATCAAATAATTTCTTTACTTTTCCAACCGCTTTGTACATATAACTTTGTGTGACTCTGTCCTAATCTGTCATGTACACACCTATCCTGACTACTAGACTGCAAAGTCCTTGGGGGCAGAGTCCATGAGGACAGATTATTACAACCCCCTTCCCACCAAGTGGGCTTCCCTGGTATCTTAGTTGGTAAAAAGAATCCACCTGCAATGCAGGAGACCCAAGTTCAATTCCTGGGTCAGGAAGATCCCCTGGAGAAGGGATAGGCTACCTATTCCAGTATTCTTGGGCTTCCCTGGTGGTTCAGATGGTAAAGAATCCACCTGCAATGCAGGGGACCTGGGTTCAATCCCTGGGTTGGGAAGATCCCTTGGAGGTGGGTATAGAAACCCACTCCAGTATTCTTGCCCAGAGAATACTCATGGACAGAGGAGCATGGTGGGCTACAGTCCGGGGTTGCAAAGAGTCAGACACGACTGAGTGGGTAAGTACAGCACAGCCCCACCCAGTACCCAGGAAATACTCAACGAACAAGCTGAACAGAATTGAATGACCTGCCCCACAACATTCATTCATTTTCCTAATATTTACTGAGCTAAACCAACAGAAAAAAACAACTCTGCCCTTGTGGCACTTATATGCTAATGGTAGAATACAGGTGGTAAATGAAATAAATAATTAAATATATACTGTTAGAAATAAATGGTAAAAAACAAAAACCTACAAAAGAGAAAAGGGACAAGAGTAGAGGGAATAGGGTCTGATTTCCCCCTGGGTGACTGGATAAGATGCTACTTTGAAGCCAACAAGGGAGCAAAGACCTGAAGTAGGTAAGGGTGAAGGGACAGCAGGTGAGGCAGGAACCTGTCTGGAACAGGCAACCAGGAGGCCTGTGTGGCTAAAGTGGAACAAGTGAGGGGGAGAGAGGTCAGAAAGAAGGTCAGAGGGGACACCAGAGGCCAAATCCCAGAGGCCATGTAGACTATTGGGATGACTTTGACCTTCACCGTTTTTGAGATGGGAGCCATTATAGTATTCAAGTTACATTTTAAAAGGGTCATTTTAAAAGTACCCTCTCAATCATTTTAATAGTGCTCAAGGTACATTTTAAAAGTACCCTCTGGCTACTGAGTTTAAATTACACTATAGGAGTGACAAGGACAGGGGCAGGGGTGCCAGTTAAGAAGCTACTGCAATAAACTAGGTGGGAAGTGGTCCATACTCTTCCAGTCCTAGGCATTCCCTGATGGCAGGCCTCCTGACCCCAGTTAGCCAGACCTATTCTTGACAGCTGGAAAAGAGTTTCTAAGGGTTAATTCCCCAGGTGCTCAAACAAGAGCCAGAGCTTGCCAAGTGCATCCTTAACTGAGTTGTAAACCAAAGAGAGTTTAGGAAAAACTCAAAGAGAAGGGGTCCAAGACCAGGACCAACAGCTCAGGGTGGTTGGTTCACAAGGGAGGAGCCAGACTATATGCTACAAGGCATCTCAGTAAGGGACACGATAAGTGTGGCGTGCTGTCTGTTTGCTACCTACATCCCCTCAACAATGCTTGGGATTCCCAGGCCAGGCCAGGAAGCAAGCACTGTTCCTTTTACTTTTCTGATGAAGGCATTGAATCAGTGAACAAAGTTAGGGTGAATTTGTCAAATTATTTAGAGATTCTAACAATCAGATTATTCACATTGAAAGATGCAAAAGGGGTAAAAATCGGCTGTGAAAATCATCAAAACCAAGGAAGTTCCAGGAAAAGCCCATGAAAATACTTCAGGGCTCAATAGAAACTCCTCGATTCCCAGTACTAAAAGATTCTAAGACATTTGCACACACACATATAATTATAAATCTGTTAGTAAATAGTCATTCCATTAAAGGAAATGCTCCACCTTCACCTGACACACAACACAGAAAAGCATGAAGCTAAATTTTAGCTCAAATACTTTAGGGAAAAGCTCCTAACAGTGGTTATATGGAGGAGGACATGAGAGGGGAACTTTTATTATCTCCATTATCTATTTCGATAAGTTTTAACTTATAGTGAGCCTATAATCTTATTAAATAATAGTATTAATTTTGAGGTATTAAAAAAGCAAAAAAGACATCGACCAAAGGAAAAAATATACCAAGGAGCTAGCTACTCAAAAGGAGCCCCTGGGTAAATAGTCTTGAAGCATGAAGAGCTATAATAATGTGAATAACTGAACCTTATTTTATCTGTATTATGACATATTTTTATAATGCTAGGGATTTTTGTTGGTTTTGTAATATAAGCAAGATTTCTTTTTTTGAAGAATAAAAGGCAAGTAAGTTACCTAAGAAAGTTCTAGAATGATTACTGATGAGTGATTAGATTGCATTTCTCTGGGTATCATCATGAAAAAGGGTAAACGGTTAGCAGTGTGCAATGAGTTTAAGGGCAATCTTATTCAGAATCAAAGTGGCCAGAAAGCTTCCTGCAGCCTTGCGATTGTTATTTCTCCTACATATCTCTCAGACATTTAGACTTAAGTCTGCTCAAAGAGCTTAAGGCTAAAAAAGGAAATGAGCACATGGCCTCTCTTATTATTCTATTCTGCCATCAGTGATTCTTGGAGTAGCAGGAAGGACTTTGTACGTGGGCTACATGGCTAGAATTAGTAGCAGAAGGGGACATAGTTAAGGTGGAACAGTTGTCTAAGCTTTGAATTCTTTTGCTTTTTTAGTTTTTTGCCGCCTTGATGTAATCTAAATACAACTTGGCTTCAAAATATCTAATCATAGATTTTTTTTCCCCCAGTTCTGTGCTAGTCTTTTTTACATATACCAGTACAAACAATTCTGTGAACCAATGAAAACTGCAAGATTTTCCGTCCAAAGACCAAGAAAATAGAAGAGTCAGAGTCAAAAAAGCTTTGAAAAGATTGACTTACCACTGGATTTAATTTCTCGGACATAATTACTAGGGAACCAGCCCGTTCTCCCATTTAATGTGCCTTCCCACCAGCCTCCTTCTTCAACTCTAGTGACATAAATGATGTCCCCTTTACAGACAGACAGCTCATCTTCATTAGTCTGCTTAAAGTTGAATCTTGCCTTTACTATCAACTGGTGACTTCCATTTTCCGTCATCTCCTGGAGAAATAAAAGTCACACCAGATTAGGTACTCATCTCAACGAGGCTGGGGCAGAAATTCTATGAATTTAGGCAAATAAAGTAGGGTGACCAAGGATAAAACCCCAGGTCTATCTCAGTCTTGAATCTTTAACTTAGGAATGGGCCTAACATAGGTAGGCTTTGCAGGGGCACAGGCGGTGAGAAGAAGGGGATTAATAAAGCCCTCAAAACTGTAGGCAAACTTTTGCATTTGTGAGAATGCGTATTTTGGAGGGGGTCATGCCTTCACTTCCTTGTCCCCCACCAGTTATCTAAAGATACTACTTTTATTTTTTTGGCCACACCACTCAGCTTGTGGGGATCTTAGTTTCCCAACCAAGAATCAAACCCAGGCTCCCCACAATGGAAGCATGGAGTCCTAATCACTGAACTGCCAGGGAATTCCTGAAAGATACTTATTTAAATGAGCTAGGAAACAAAGTAGATTAATAAACTATCCCACTCCGCCTGTACCCAACACCCAGACAAAGTCTTACATAATTACATGACCAAGATTAGGTACTAAACTCCTCTCATAAAATCTGCCTCCCACCTCTCAATTACTAAGAATATCTTAAATTGGCTAAGGCTTAGTCATATGCAAAGATCAAATATCCCATAGTTACCCAAGTCAGGAGCTCTTAACCTGTCACAGGTCCCTGAGAAGATGATAGCACAATGTGCCTTTACCCAAAACAGAGACTAGTAAATTCAGGGAGAAGATTTTGCATACAATTTGAGAGGGCCCAAGGGGTATGGAACCGTACAGTGTTCATCAGCTTCTGAAAGGGATCTCTGATCTCAAAAGGTTAAGTGCTTTGGAAGTAATTAAAGTACTTTGGAACTAATAGCTCCTGATGGCTTAAAGCAAGTGGGTGGATTTTGACAAGGAATAAAGGTCTCAAAAGAGCAGAAGCTAGGGTGCTTCCTTCCAAAAGAAAGCTCCCATTAAGACTAAATGCAATGATAACTGAGCCATCCCAATCCAGGAGCTCCTCTCGAGCTCAATAGGAATGCAAAGAGAAAAAGAAAATGGCAGTGATGCTGATGAGAACAAGTAATATATATTGATTGCCTGCACTGTGCCAGGCGCTATTTAGTTCCCTAATAAGCTGGGGGCAGGGGATGGGGGTGACGGGGAAATAACAGCAAACTTCCCTCAGGAAGTCGGACTAAGAGCTGACATTTGCATAGGGTTCTCAGTTGCTCAATTCTAGAAAGGGATGGGCTTCCCTGGTGGCTCAGATAGTCAAGAATCTGCCTGCAATGCAGGAGACCTGGGTTTCAATCCCTGGGTCAGGAAGATTCCCTGGAGAAGGGAATGGCTACCCACTCCAGTAGAAAGGGATAGAACTTTGAGGCTTCAACCCTGACTTTCTGACTCTGTGGCCCACATGCCTTTGATGCATTCCCTTGGGCCAGCCTGAATTGGGGTGAGGTTCCAAATTCATTTTATCACAACACCCCAAACCAACAGGATGGTATCTCACTACCTATGGAGATGTAACCGAGATAGCCATCGAATTTTATGGATTTAAAAACAGGCCAGGGGAATTGGGGACCATACTTACCACTGGCTTTGACTGCCTTTGCAGTCCTGGAGGTGTGCTAGAAACTGCTCCCTGTGGGTTTGTCTGAGAACTATTAGCAGCGCTAAGAGAAGAGGAACGTCCACATGGCCTTTCTGAGAGCTGATCTGTGAAAAAAGGAAAAGGCACCGTAAAGAGAGCCCCTTGTGTTAGAAAAACGTCTCCAGCAAAATATTATCTTTCACGGGACATTATCAAAGGCAATCTGACCAGACTTCTAACCGTTCATGATGAACATGCTGAGCTTATTTCATCCCCCCTCCCCTCCCTTGCAGTGGCCAACTTCTCTTTCTTAACCTTACTGGCCATTGTTCTCCAGTAGAATGAAAAACAGCAACACAACCACATTTTCTCTTAACCCATTTATCTACAACTCTTTGCTCTTGAACCCGTTGCAACAGTATGCCCTGTGATCCCCAGCAGAACTATATTGGGTACCAAACAGCTGTCTGTGGCTCTTATTACTTTGAAATATTTTAAATTTCTTGCTTTGTTTTTTGGCCCATAACTGAGTGGTTCTTTTCTTCCTCACATGGAGCAGTCTATGTGGCACATATAATGTCAAATCTCCCTTGTGCTTGGGGGAGGGGAGAATGAGAATGGGAGAGAATGTGTGTCTGGGAAAGATGCAGTCTTGATACTAGAATCTTTTTTTTAACTCAAACTCAAGAGTCTTTTCCTTGAAACCATGTGAAATTCGATCAGCCCAGCGCAGAGTTGGGTGTTTTCAGAATGCCCAGAGCATACTAAACGGAGGAGTTGGCTCCCTGACAAATTCAAATGAGAGTTCTTTTCCTCTCCATTTATTTTTAAAAGATATAAACTGCAAAAGTCTAAAGCCCAAACAATCCCTAGGCGACAAGCTCAGTATCCAAGTAATTTCCTTGATGCTGTGGGTTTTAACTTTCACCTCCTTGTATTTTATAAATATCTGTGGCAAGGGAAGAGACTGTAAAACTTGCTAGGAGAGTTTGGCAAAGGAACATATAATTTGTATGGCATAATGTTAGAATTATACGATCCTCCCTGCCCAGAACTGGATAGTTGTCATGTGTGTTAAATATAGTTACTTGAATTAGCTGTACTTTCTGCTATACGCCTTGCAATAGAGCCAAAGCATTTTCTTCCAGAAAGCAAAAGAACAACTTCAGAGAAGTATTTTTACATTTATTGCTATTATATACAGCTCTTTTGACTAAAACTGTAATTACTTGATAGCTTCCTAGATGCTCCAACCTCTTCTGCACTTGATTATATTGTCTGTTCTTGTTCTGTAATTGTTTCACGTGGGTAAGTCGAGTCTCCCTAAATAGATCGTAATTTTCTCCAGGGCGGGGACCACGTCTTACCCTTCCTTTGTAGCACCTGGCGGTGCTGGGCACACAGCGTGTTGACTTTCCAGTGTTTTGAGCAGCAAGACCCAAGTTGGAGCATCGGGGTTCTACAGTCAGTGAGGTGTGGGTCTGAATCCCAGATCTGCTGCTTACTTTCTACTCGAGCCACTATGGGCCTGACCTTCTTTATTTGTAATATGGACCTAATACTGACACCTACTCCACCTACTCCCAGGCTTGTTTCAAAGATTGAATGAGACTGCTGATGGCTCTTAGGACAGCCATGACCCGTGGTAAGGGCTCAATGCATTTTAACTATGGTTATTACTGTCCTGCTCTCAGTAAGATACTGTAGCATGGAAGGAAAGAAGCTCTCCTTTAAGGTTAACATCATTTGGTTCACATGTACTAGGATCTACATATATTTCATTCTGCCAATGTGATGGGTACTAAATACTTAAATAAATGATGTTCTTTTCTCTCACTATGAACCTGAGGTTTCATTTCCAGTGCAAGGTTACTGAAGGGTTCCTTAACATGGACAAAGACATACTGAAAACTATGAGAAAAAAAGAAATATGTCTCTGGCGGGGAAAGGGAAGTAACGGCTGCATTTTGTAAACTTTATGAAAAAAGGAACTGATCTTTTTCCTTTTAATTTTCTGCCTTGTTATACTCAGGGGCCTATTCAATAGCTTTGAATGAAATTGTTTCTTGATTCTTATTATATTAAGGGCATTAGAAAAACATCTGTAATAGTTATGCTGAAATCCTAAAGTATGACGAATTAAAGCATCTGGCACCCATGGGGTTCTTTTAAGGGGAAGAGAGAAATCTGTCCCAAGGGCACAGTTGTGGCCATAGTCGGATCCTAGAGGAATCAGACACGTGAACCCAAACATGTCACCCAGAACCCCCCACCCATCTCAAGCCCTACTTACCTTCTGTTGCTTTGTTGACAGCTAAAAGAGTGTTCAGAACCTTGGAGAAATTGACCCCTGCATAAAGGTCATCAGGATCAAATATCTATGAGAAAGGAAATTGAAACTGTTAAGACACTGTAAGTATTCAACTCAACAAACCAAACTATCAGAAGGCCACTTCTTCCAGCTCTCAGGGGAAAATAATGTAAAAGCCAAGACCCAAACCTCTGTATACCTTTGGGAAAAAATGAAAGCGGCAGCAAAGCCGCCTAATGACATGTGGCAGCCATCAGTGAGTCAGAGAGAAGCAGTAATGGGAAATGAGAACTACGCCGAGTGCAGGGCCCACCAGGAAATGCACAGACCTGCTCTTCTGACCTGAACCCATCAATACTCTCGGCCCAGTTACCGGAAACCCTGTGCTGGGTTACAGTCAGTGCCCATCACCTACCCAAGGAGGGGGAGCCTTTGTGACACCCTTTCCTCAGTACAGTTTATTCACTGTTCTCAGCCAGGCACTGTCAGCAGTGCCTTCCTCTCTTCTGCCCATCCTCACTGCGGCCACCCACTGGGTCCCAACTTCACACTGCCCAAACTTTCTGCCGAGGCCTGCCTCTTGCTCCCAGCCTCAGTGCCCAGTTTCTGCCGCTTGACCTTGCCCCTCTCAGCTCATCTTCATGGATCTGACCCTTGGCCAGTCTGAGCCTCTAGGTTCTTCCTGGCCTTAGGTAACTTTTCCGGATATGACCTCTGGCCTTCCTGATATTGCTCAACTGCTGGCAGCAAAACACTGAAGAAATACAATATTTCACTTGGCCAGTTGCAACCATCATTCTGATATCCCACTGTCCCTAGGGAAGATACCAAGCAGTTACTGTTTTAAAGACAATTGTTCATTTAAAAGTGTATTCAATATCTTGTAATAACCTATCATGGAAGTGAATCTGAAAAGAAACAGATCTATAGATGTATAAGTGAATCACTTTGCTGTATACTTGAAACATTGTAGATCAACTATACTTTAGTAAAAAAAATAATTTCACAAATTTAAGAATAAAATTTCAGATGCATTCAATGTATTAAATTATATGGAGATGTCTTCTAGTTTCATAAATGTGTATTTGAAACTAGAAATCTGCTCAAGGACAGGCTCAACCTACTAATCTGCCAGTCAATGATACAGATCTATATATGTTTTAGTGGCTAAGTCTTATCCGACCCTTGTGACCCCATGGACTGTAGCCTGCCAGGTTCCTCTGTGCATGGGATTTCCCAAGCAAGAATACCAGAGTGGGTTGCCATTTCTTTCTCCAGGGGATCTTCCCAACCCAGGGATCAAACCCACATCTCCTTCATTGGCAGGCAGATTCTTTACCACACTGAGCAACCTGGATTCCCAGATCTATACATGCGTATCTATTGTGCTGTGCCATGCTGTGCTCAGTTGTATCTGACTCTTGCTACCCCATGGACTGTGGCCCACCACACTCCTCTGTCCATGGAATTTCCCAGGCAAGAATACTGGAGTGGGTTGCCATTTCCTTCTCCAGGGATCTTCCCGGCCCAGGGATCGAACCCACATCTCCTGCATTGGCAGGTGGATTCTTTACTACTAGCACCACCCTCCAATGCTTAACCAGATGCCCACTTTCTGGATGGAAATACACCTTCTTAAAACATTTGGTTCCAGGATGTCAAGAACTTTGCATCCTTTTTTCCCCAAGTGTGGTGATGGGAATAAAACGTACCTTTTCATGTGGAGCATGGTTGGTAATGAGCCTAAGATTCTGAAGGATCTGTCTTCCTATCAGGTAGAGACATTTGTTCCATTTCTAATCTGCATGTTTTCTGGGAGCTATGTCAAGATTCAATTTTATCTTCTTTGTGTACATATTCTTTAAGACCTAAAATCTGTCTCTTGAGTGAAAATATATAATATCCATTTTTTCCCCACATTTGGGAGGGAGGCCGTCAGTGTAAACAATATATGCAAATGTGGGCCTCTTCTGAGACTCACAAGTCTTTATTCATTTAATCAATGAACGTTTTGCATTCAAACTTAAAATGACTGACGAGCCCAATCACATCTAAAAATGAGATCCTAATATACTTCTAGCAAAGGGGAGATGTCAGTATTACTAAAGAGTTAAAGGACACTACAATCCAAATATGTTCCTGAATGCTACAATCTAAAATGCAAAGGTTTCCAGGAATAAATGGATAGGCATTCTGTTTTAGTTTGCCAAGATCTGAGTGAACAAGATGCAGCAGACCCTAGAGAGACTATCAAGTATCCCACGGGATTCCAGACTTATTGCATCTCCCTTAGAAGTGATATCAATGGGAAAGTGTTAATGACATGTATGCCAAAATGGTAACAAAGCAAAAACCTCCTAGTGGGAGTGTAAGCATGTGTATGCACATGGATATGTGTATTGGGTAGATGTGGTGGAGATGAGTAGTGTCTAAAATAATAAACGGACATAAATATTAGCAGAAAAAGGCCGAGAACTGTGATTAAAAAAACATCCACCTTTCTTTTGAGGTTGCTCCTTATCCAGGTTAATTGACCTCCTATAGGTGACCACACTGGCAATATTCACTTGTATTAGTCGTTGTTTAGTCGCTCAGTCATGTCCAACTCTTTGCAACCCCATGAACTGTCGCCTGCCAGGCTTCTCTGTCCATGTGATTTTCCAGGCAAGAATACTGGAGTGGGTTGGCATTTCCTTCTCCAGGGATCTTCCCGACCCAGGGATCAAACCCACATCTCCTGCATTGGCAGGCGGAGTCTTTACCACTGAACCACCAGGGAAGCCCACTTGTGTTGGTACTTGGCTGAATTTGAGAATAAAGACACTGATCAGAAAATGAAACATGCATCAGCAAGAGGCACTGCATCTGCTTGAGGGAAGTTGCCTGCACTATACACAGTTCCCTTTTTTAGAAAACCTCAATACACTAGAATTTACTCACAGATGCTGTTCTCAAGCACTCGGAACTACATAGGAAGAAGTTGGAAGGGGCCTCTCGGGACTAGTAGAGAAGGCAAAGTCTGAGGGTTATGATTTCTGAGCCAATGGAAAGTTAGACAGAACCATGTCACCCTCCACTGCACCACACCCTCACGAGCCTCACATGGAATAATACGGAACATTCCGTCCCAGACCTTCTTCCTCGCTCTTGAAATTGGTCACCTACTAAAATGGAAATACTGTCTATAGAAAGTGCAATACTTTCAGCTGCTATCAGTCTTTTACACCTTAGTGGAAATGAGAGGTGTGTGAGACCAAGTTTAGAGATGATGTTGTGGAGAAAAACTAAGAGCACTGGCACCCAACTGGGAAAAAGCAAGGAAGACTCCCCTACCATGGAGAGGGTATGAGGTAAGTAGATTCCAATACAAGTCACTTGCCTAGGATTAATCCCAATCATTTACATGTACAAAATGAAGAACCATTTCCCCTTTTCTATCTGCAAAGCACTGGGATGGTGAAAAGGTAATGCAAATTTGTGCTCAGATGCTATATGCGATTTCCCAATACAATGGCCGGATGACACGCATCTCTGGCTTCTCTATGCAAGCTTCATGCACCTGTTTGGTGTCTCTGGTATGAAACTGAGCTTCAGATTAGCTGAACTTTATTTAAAAAAAAAAATTTTTTTTGGTCCACACTCAGCATGTGGGATCTTAGTTCCCTGACCAGGGATTGAACCTGTGTTCCCTGCACTGGAAGCATGGAGTCTTAACCACTGGACCACCAAAGAAGTCCCTAGATGAACTTTCTTGATACTTATTTTGGTGCAGAAAATTAGCTGCTTAGTTCCAGTTGAATCTGTGAAGCCTGGATGAACAGCAGGAGTCCCTCCCTCCATTTACCACTATTGTGAGGCAGACAGGAAAGAAAAGATTGCTTCTTAGACTACAGCTCAACAGTATCAAGGTCCCAGGCCTGCCATGGAATGAGGCAAGGTTCAAGAATAACAACAACAAAAAAACATTTACTCTACACTGGGTAAGCAATGGAGAGACAGGGAGTAAAGTTCATTAAAGATTTTAAGTATTTACATAGAGCCAGCCTAAGGTCTAATCCTGCATCAGCAGCTGAAATCAGACAAGGCCTTTCATTTTTAAATGTTTCCCCACATTTTTCCATTTTGGATATCCACAATGACAGCAAAACCTATTTTCCATCCACTAAACACCAGGTGTTAATTCTGAACCATTGGGGATCTGCCAGTATAAGCTGCACAGAAGTTAATATTTATATGGCTTTACAAATAGATCCTTTTTGGAGGAGTTTTCAGTTTCAACATGTATGCTATTTTATGACATCCTCCCTAAACTGACAAAAGTAAGGAAGCACAGGAGAAGACACTCCCCCAACCATTTGGTAATCTTACTGCTACAATTTCCTGATTTACTGAGCCCTCGCTATGTGCTATGGGCTGACACCATCCATTCATTGTCCTCGATTCTCCCAGCAAGCCTGTAATCTGGGTACAGTTATTTTCCCCATTTTAGAGATAAGTAAATGGTGGCTCAAAGTAAGTAGTTAAGTCACAAAGCAAGAATGGGATGGAATCAATAAAAATATACAAGAAAGTGCTCTGAGGAGCATTTTAGCCCTGTATGCATACTTGAAGTTTTACTGTGTATATGTTAGTTGCTCAGTCATGCCCCAACTCTTTGCGACCCCATGGACTGTAGCCCATCAGGTTCCTCTGTCCATGGGATTCTCCAGGCAAGAATACTGGAGTGGGTTGCCATTCCTTTCTCCAGGGGATCTTCCTGACCCAGGGATCGAACCCAGGTTTCCTGCATCACAGATAGCCTCCTTAGCATCTGAGCCACCATGTTTTCCTGACATTAAAAAGATGAGAATGAAATCTGTGAGTTTGTACATGAAAAGAAATCCCTTGCTGCTGTCAGTACATGGAGTACCTTTACCACCTGCAGCAAGTTGGTTACAACCTCTAAGACAACTCAGTTCAACTAACTGTGACAAAGAGAAACTCACCTGTATGAGAAGACTGTCTCTGCAGGGGTTTGCCTAACACCTGTGCTGTCTTTCTCATTTCAGGGGGCAGCCCTGACCCAGC